ATGTTTGTCCTGTACCGTGGCTTCATTGAGAGCTATTCATTGAGAGAACTAGGAGGGGCTTTGGTTGTACTGGGAGGGATTGTGCTTGTACTGGGAGGAGTTTTGTTGTACTGGAAGGAGTTTAGGTTGTGCTGGGAGGAGTTGTGGTTGTACTGGGAGGAGTTTAGGTTGTGCTGGGAGGAGTTTAGGTTGTACTGGGAGGGGTTTCAGTTGTACTGGAAGGGGTTGTGGTTGTACTGGGATGAGTTTTGTACTGGGAAGAGTTTTGGTTGTACTGGGAGGGATTGTGATTGTACTGGGAGGAGTCTAGGTTGTGCTGGGAGGAGTTTTGTACTGGGAAGAGTTTTGGTTGTACTAGGAGGGGTTTTGGTTGTACTGGGAGGGATTGTGATTGTACTGGGAGGAGTCTAGGTTGTGCTGGGAGGAGTTTTGTACTGGGAAGAGTTTTGGTTGTACTAGGAGGGGTTTTGGTTGTACTGGGAGGGATTGTGATTGTACTGGGAGGAGTTTAGATTGTGCTGGAAGGAGTTTAGGTTGTGCTGGGAGGAGTTGTGGTTGTACTGGGAGGGGTTTCAGTTGTACTGGAAGGGGTTGTGGTTGTACTGGGAGGAGTTTTGTACTGGGAAGAGCTTTGGTTGTACTAGGAGGGGTTTTGGTTGTACTGGGAGGGATTGTGATTGTACTGGGAGGAGTTTAGGTAGTGCTGGGAGGAGTTTTGTACTGGGAAGAGTTTTGGTTGTACTAGGAGGGGTTTTGGTTGTACTGGGAGGGATTGTGATTGTACTGGGAGGAGTTTAGGTTGTGCTGGGAGGAGTTTTGTTGTGCTGGGATGAGTTTAGGTTGTGCTGGGAGGAGTTTAGGTTGTACTGGGAGGAGTTTTGTACTGGGAAGAGTTTTGGTTGTACTAGGAGGGGTTTTGGTTGTACTGGGAGGGATTGTGATTGTACTGGGAGGAGTTTAGGTTGTGCTGGAAGGAGTTTTGTTGTACTGGGATGAGTTTAGGTTGTGCTGGGGGGAGTTTAGATTGTGCTGGGAGGAGTTTTGGTTGTACTGGGAGGGGTTTTGCTTGTCAAATGTATCTCGGAGAGACGGATGTGTTTATGCTGCTATAACATGTGGCTTAAATGTGTCTCAGTCCACCTCCCGAAGAGGCTTGAGCGATCAGATCTGTATTTGTTTTAAATGCGTCTTGGGTGCTTTGGCACTTGCATTTTTATGTGGTCTCCAGATATAATTGTGTGTATCCAGATATAATCCTGATACTCAAGACACTTGAAGTGACCAGGTGTAAACAGGGCCTCTGTCTTTGCCAGTGTTATAAATGTCACAGTGTTATAAATATATTCTAAATGGATTCTGAATATGTTACTTTTTATGTATTGTAATAGAAAACATTCATGAATATCTTTAGGACAGTCAACCCTAAATGTATTCAATCTCAAGTATTTTGACCAACCCTGACCTTCCATTGCAGTTGTTTTGGGGTGGGGGATTTTCACTATTTTCACTAGTTTTTATAAGTAAATAATTACAGACATTCATGAAAACATGAGACAGAAAAGTCAGTTTGTAAAGTTCTTTTCGGTGTCAAAGCCGTAACATATGTAATGTTTATAATTTAAAATTAGCTCATACTGTATGTATTATTATTATCAGTAAGTGCTGTCATGTTGCTTCCGACTCCTGGTTCCCATATGGACAGTGTCCCTCCAGAATGTCCTGTCTTCCGTATAAATCTTCAGGCTTCTCAGTGGCTGCTTCGTGATTCGTCTGATCGTCTCCATCCCAGCTGGTGGTCCTCTTTTACCTTCAGCTCTTCCAAACATAATGGTCTTTTTTAATAAGCTAGTTCTTCTTGGAATATTTCCAAAATAAGAGCTTTAGTTTGGTTCTCTGGGCTTCCAGTGAGATGTGAGGCCTGCTTTGTTTGAGGATCTATTTGTTTTCTTTGCCGTCCAGGGTTCTCTCAAAAGTCCTCGCCAACACCAAAGTTCAAAGGCTTCAGTGTTGTTCCTGTCCTCTTGTTTATTGTCCAGATTTCACATCCATTATGGCATTTGGCAGACGCTCTTATCCAGAGCGACTTACAGTTTCATCATTTTTACACAGGTAGGTGAAGGTAGTGTTAGGAGTCTTGCCCAAGGACTCTTAGGTATAGTGTGGGGTGCTTACCCGGGTGGGGGATTGAACCCCAGTCTTCAGTGTAGAAGGAGAGGTGTTACCCACTACACTAGACATCCATAAAGACAGAGAAGACCACAGGCTGGACAATTCTAATCATGGTAGAGACAAACTGTTGCCTTTGAAGATGATTGATCTGAGTCGGCAAAAGCTGTCCATCAGTTAGCAGTCTTTCCTGTCGTCATAACTTCAGTGTTCTTCACATTGAGCCCCATCTCTTCACCCTGTTCCTTACCCTTCCTTATAAGGGTCTTCAGGTCTTCCAGATTTTCGTCTATGAGTGTTTTCCACCAATCCTGAATCCTCGATCTTCTTCCTCCAGTACTGATTTTCTCATTATATGTTCTGTGTACAGGTTGAACAGGTATGGTGACAGCATGCAGCCCTGTGTTTTTTGCCGATGTGGATCCAGTCTGTTTGAGTTAATTCAGCACTAGGGATACAACTCTGTATTTAATGAGTGCTTTTATTCAACATTGCATTTACAGTTTGCATCCAAAGTGTTATGAGTCACTTGAACAGTAGTTATTATCTCTGACATGAAGCCCAGATTCACTGTCAAAGCTGAGCTGTTCTGTCTGACTGTAATTGGCCGTGTAACATTTGACTATGAAGGAAACTATCAATCTGACTCCCGTTCACAACGAGGCCTCCATGGAGTCTCTGTACTAAAATGAAAAAGCAAAAAATAAAAAAATAAAAAAATAAAACAACAGCACAATAAAGCATGTAAACAATTTAGATTTTTTAAGTATATACAGTTGTATGCAAAAGTTTGTGCACCCTAGTCTAATTGTATGTCATTCAGGGTGGTTTGGTGTGAAATGGTTCAGATTTCTTTACAGTGGTGGTGATAGGAACCAGGGGTCACCATGACTACAACACAAATATACACACTTTATTTACTATCCAAAACCACCAGTGAACCTGCAGGAGTCTTCTGAGTGATATGGAATGTTGATGATGGGAAAATCTGGAAAAATAAGTTTTCTTTGGGGACTATTTTGCCTCACAACACCCTGCATGTATCCCTCCACTATGGATAGTATTTAAACAATGGTTTAGGCCAAAATCTTTTCAAAACTACCTCTCAAATAATATCTGCTCTGTGGTGGTCCTGTGGGGGTCCTGAGCTTTGAAGAACAGGGAGAAAGGGGGCTAACAGAGAAACAGATGGACTACAATCTATAGAGTATACATGGGTCATTCTACAGAAACGTCCACTTATCTATCTTTCCATAGGAGTCACTGGTGTTACTGATCCTCATTGGTGTTACACATAATAAAGGAACACCAGAGACATTTTTAATGAACAATGCATTTTACAAAATAACTGCTACAGAGCATCAAACCACATGTTGTCAATCATGGAACATCCACTAAAATATGGAGTTTAATCCATTTATATTCTATTTTTTCACAATTACCTCAGAATAAAGTCGGTCACACCAGTGACTTCAGCTAAAAGCTTCATATGAAATCATGAGCTAAATGAGAAAATCTCTGATAACTGAAAGACACAGTTGACGCACCATGAGCTTTTCTTCATAGATCCTCAGAAAACAGGTAAAAGGAAGTCAAGTGATGTCATCAGTGTGACTTTTATTTCAAAATAAGAGATTTTTGTTACGCAGTAACACCAGTGACACGACTCCTGGGGACCACAACTTTCATTATATATTTTATAATGTTTATTTGGCATTTGTTTTCTTTATATCAATTAAATCATATATTTCATAGTCATGTATAGATTATTGCAGTTAAAATTGCAGAAAAACATGTTTTTTACCTGAAAATATGGCCTCAGCCTTCACACATGACTGTGAGGACGAGCTCTTCTGTGGTGCTTGGAATTCTATATGATTGATTTAAAAACCAATATTGCTAAATTGAGGCTCAAGAAGGTGTAAATGTTAAAATAACATTTTAAAATATAAATAAATTCTAACCCTACCCTTTTTTTTAAGTGTAATATATCTGTAAATGCTAGGGACACAAAAATGGACATTTCTGTAGAATGACCCATATATATGATAATGTACTTAAGTAACTGTCCCTGATTTACCTGCTGAGTGAAAGGTTTTAAATTACTGTATGAAGCAATTCGGCTGACAGAATGACCTAAAATCTGTGTACATCTTTCCAGAATCAAGGATTCCGCTACCCCCGACCCCCCTCCGTCCCACCCTCTCCCTCAGCCTCCCTCCACTCCACCCCCCACCACAGTGACGCAGAGGACGAGGACGATCACGAGCCCTATGACGAAGAAGAGGAGGCGGAGAGGGACAGGCTGAACATTAAAGCGCCCTTCACTCTAGGGGCCGTGCCGGAGGGTAAGAAGAAGCAGCCGGGCGAGTACGGGAATTAGAGGCCGCCATCGACTTCCTGCTGGTCGGCCAGAGTCCAGCGATGCTCACTGAACTACAGTACATACCAGCTTCTGCTGTGGGACAAGTTTTGGCTCATTATAAGACATGAGCATGGAGTAATCTCACTGCTTTAGTAGACTTTTCTCATATCTGTCTTACATTCCGATGTGACCTCTCATCATCATCACTTGTTCTAAACTAAACTCAGCACAGTTAGAGGTTAAATAGTCGAATAAAGTTGTCCCACATGTTTCCACCATCGAAATCATTTTTGTCTTTTTTATTTATTATTAAAAGACATGGCACACTACACGCTTCACATGGCTATGAATGCAAATTCATTTTATTCACCACAAACACTCATATGAAGTACACTTAAAGTACCGCAGTCCGAAATCCATGTTGTATTTTACATTGCATTAAATACTGAGAGTTCATTAAACGACACAGGGTGAAAAATAAAGAGAAAAACTGTACAGTTTCGGCTATATTACACAGGCAGCTCCTCAGAAGTAGTCCCTTTTCCAGGCCGGTATGTCTTGAAAAAAGAATCCGTTATCCTCTCCTGGAATTGAATTACACGAGAAAGAGCGCGAGAGAGAGAGAAAGAGAGAGAATTAGGTTTACTTTGTAAATCAATGTGCACGGCATCACTCCGAATGAGCATCAAAGCGGGATCTGCAATGTGCTACGCTTTGAGAAAATGAGGCTTAACCTGATTGTGAAATCAGTGGTGGAATTGTAAACAACTTTCAGGTGGGATGCTGGGCTCAAATAAGCAATAAGAAGCATGCAGTTCTATATGAGCACCAGGCTTGTTGGTTTGACTTGAAGAACTTGCAGTTCATCCGAGGCAAATGTCAGATATGGGATTCAAATATTTCGGACACGTGTCAAATAATATAAATAGGGATGATACATAACATAAAGGGGGATGACAGTTTTACAAGCATCCTGATTTTTGTCTTTTCACTAGTACTAACATTCTAGCAGTACAATAAACAAGTAAAGTTAATACCCACCTTCCTCTTTGACTTGCTGGAGGAAGTTAAGCAGCACTGTAGCAGCCTTAGACACACTCAGATTCTCTGTGTTTTGACTCCGTGTTTCTGAGAAGAAACAGAATGAAGGGTTTCCAGAGGGAGATACAGGGAAGACTGTGTAAAATGCGAAAAAATCAAAGAGCTGTGACTGTACCTAAGTGGAGAGAGTCGTAAACATCCCCCTCGTTCCTGTCCTCTGACACGAAGCGGCGTCCCTCTGTAAACACAAGACATTCTCAGACCTGTTCATTGTGTTCGGGTGGCTGTGAATTCACTGCAAATGAACCATGGGCAAGTGGTATGATCCTAAATCTAGCTGATATATCTGATATTTCTCATTTTGAGATTATTATAAGATGATCTAACCTATTTCTAAGCTTGTTTTTACTCGTTTTGATTTAATTAAGACCAAATGATCTCAATATGTTGGCAGATAATTTTGCTTGTTGTAAGAAATGCGCTTGAAACCAATTTATCTGGCAATAAATTGAGACCACTTGACTTGCTAAATTCACTTAAAACAAGTAAAAGTGTCTATAAATAGGTTAAATAACCTCATAATAAGCTTAAACAATCTCAGAATGAGAAATATCAGATATTTTGACTACATTTAAGATCATTTTACTTGCTCAGATACCATTTATTTTGCAGTGAGTCCCTCCTCACACTGCATAATGATCTCTTAAGTGAAAGTATCTTTAATGTAGTTGATATATCGAATATTCCTCATTATGAGACGGTTGTAAGAATATTGTAAGATTATTTCACTTATTTCTAGACATTTTTAATTGTTTTAAGTACGTTTATCTTATGAAAGTGTTCCATTAGCTGATCATTTTACCTGTTTTAAGCATTATTACTCACTTTCACCAGATTAAATTACTTAAAACAAGTAAAAATGCACAGAAACAGGCGGAATAATCATAATCAAAGTCTCATAATGAAGAATATTAGATATTTTAGCTACATTTAAGATGTTTTCACTTGCTAAGATATTTTTTGCAGTGCGCTGATACAGTGCAAGTGCAGCACTCGGTAAAAGTTTTTACGTACGTGTGCCTTTAAGGTACAGCATCGCCTGTGGGGTCCAGTTTCTACGCTGGAGAGTGCCCTGGAATTGAGAAGCAGAAGGCAAAGAGGTTTGATCACATAGGATCAGCAGCGCTTTTGTGAAAGTACTGCTGGTGCGTCGTCTGGTTACCTTGGGCGCACTGCACGCGTAGGAGACGAACGTAGCCAACAGAAGGAGCGCGAGCGCGTAAGCCGTGAGAGCCTTCAGACCCTGAAACAAGCAGGAGGCAGTAGGTCAGTATACAGCATGTGGATCATCAACTAGCCCTTTGCTAAAGTAGTAGGAAGCAAAGTGACCAGTTTTTATCCAAAAGGCTCTCCGTGCGTAAAGGCGCACCGGGTGAACCGCGCGTGAAAGCCACCCCTGCTGAAAAAACGACTATAAGAAACCACGAGGATTAAAATGTAACGGTTTTGCTTTCTAATGGGGATTGGCTTGATGCTTTCCAATAGAGTTTCCTGTAGAACACCTTTAGATCCCATTAGGAAGCCATCAAATGCGTTTAGAATTAGCTTTGGTCACCTGTTAAACCATTAGGAACCTTTATATTGTGACGCTACTGAAAAAAAAAAACATAGAAACCATTGCGTTTCTGTTGGTTCCTGATGGTTTGGTCATGTGCTTTTTTAATGGGAAGGTATTACAATGTAAAGGATCCTAATGGTTTACACTGGCTGATTCTAAACGGTTTCCTAATGGGATCTAAAGGCGATCTACAGGAAACTGCATTGGAAACTATTTAGCCAATTCCCATTAGAAAGCAAAAGCAATAGGTTTTAATCCTAATGATTTGTAATGGTCCCTTTTCAGCAAGGGTATCAACCCATTGATAAGCCAAAACACATTACAAAACCATCAGGAATCAACAGAAGTACTTAATGGTTTCTATAGGTTTTTCATCAAGGACTTTAAACTGTAAACAGGCGATACTGTACTGAGTTACTCCTAAGTACATAAGACTGTCATACATTCCCAGGTTCCTAGTGCTGGTAAGACCCCTAAAGCCCCTCTCCTAATACCCGGATTAGTGGTCAATGTAAGGGGGGAAGCCTCTTACTTTCATTGCTCCGCTGTCCTCTTCAGATGAGCGCTTGTGAATGGAGAGGTGAGCTCTGCTGGGAGAGAGAGGATCCCCGTCTATTTATAACAGCAGGGTGGAGGAATCCCGTCTCAGGCGTCGCGGGGAGTTTAATGAACGTCGTCTACGGCAATAGGTCAGGGCGAATTGATTAACACGCGGGGGATGGGCTCCAAACCCCTTTGCGCAAACGCGTTATTAACCCTCCACAGAACAGCAAGTGCACCACTTTTGGCTCAGCGGAAACTTTCCTCCGCCCAGCGATCAGAAACACCATCACAGTCCAGCGTCCTGACGGCGATCAGCAGTGACGTCCTGTGAGATATGAATGTGTTTACGCGCTGCGCACTGAAGCGCCTCGGACAGCCGTGTTTATGAATGAACGCCTGCCAAAGCTCTCCGCGCAGGGCTGAGTGGTCTCCCCACTGGGAGCGAATAAATGACCCTCCCCTGGACAATGTATCGATGAGCTACTTGACCCACGTTTATTAATGGTGCCACATGATTTCCTCTCTCATTTTTTTAATCATCACAATCGATATAAATAATTGGTGCGCGCTGAATATTGCTCTGCCTTAGAATTATGGGCTGGATGACACATTATTGGGAAATGTAAGTAAATTATATGTGCTTTAATGTCGATTATTAACATGTTAAATTAATCATTTTTATTACCAGAGATGTAAAAACACAAATGTGTCAATATAAAAACTGCCAAAATCCATCTCTTTAATGTAATATTAGTACTATTAGTAGTATTATTCTTTATTTGTTTATGTTTAATATTATTAATTTTCTGTTGACAACAGGTGGCATTACTTTTTCACACCCTATGTCCAAAAAATGGACACATGCCCATCCAATATTTCTTCTGAAATTGAGTTTTGAAGGGAAATCCCACCAGTTTTTTCAAATTTCTTTATTATTCAATCATTGGGATGTAAACAGAGGGATTCAGAGTGGTTTGGTGTGAAACGGTTCAGATGTCTTTACAGTGGTGGTGATAGGAACCAGGGGTCGCCATGACTACAACACAAATATAGACATTTTATTTACTATCCAGAACCACCAGTGAACCTACACGAGTCTTCTGAGTTTATATGGAATGTTTATGATGGAAAATAGTGGGAAATCTGTTTTCTTCAGCATGTGTTCCTTAGCAATGAATATCTTCTAAAAATACATTTTGATCATCAATATATCAAAACTATCATAAAACAGTGTTTCAGTCATCAGGTAGTGAATTCATAACCATTTCATGTAGTAACTTTCTGTGAGGGAGCTTTTAGAGGTGGACGTCTGGTTCCTATCACCACCACTGTGAACAGTTCTGACTGAGTAAGTTTCACTAGAACGGAGCGTTTCACACCAAACCACTCTGAACGACTTTTTGTAGCAACAGCCTCAACTCTTCTGGGAAGGTTTATACTAATTGTTAGACCATTGCAGTTCTGGATCACTCCAACTCATCCCAAAGGTATTGGATGGAGCTCCATCACCCCAGAAAACACAGTTCCACTGATCCACAGCCCAGTGCTGGGTGGCTTTATACCCCTCTAGCTCATGCTTGGCATTGGTGCATGGTCACATTAAGCTCCTGTGCAGTGTCCCATTCTACTGGACAGTGCTTTTCTATGGGGATCATACAAGCTGAACACCTGTATCAGCAATGTGTGCATCTTAAAGTAGCCAAATTATTAATCAAAGTATTTGATATCACAATCGAATGCAACTGTATTCAGTTTTATTGCACATGTTGTCTTGCATCCCCTATACTGGAAAATGAATATTAATACATGCATAATTGCAGTCATATGTAAAAGCTTGAAAAACCCCAGTCAAATTACATTTTGTTGATTTTCTAAGTTAAATAAAATAGTCAACACAAAACAAACTTAAATATACTTAAAAATCCTTTTCTGCAAATTCTAGAGCAGAACCTCTCTCTAAATTTTGAGCTTAACAAATTGAACAAAAATAAAACAAATGGATAGACTTTTTTTTTTATTTACGTTTTTATATTAAATACGACAATTAAAATGCGCAGAAGTGTGCTCTCTGTAGAAGTGGCTATTTGAGATTATACTATTTCCCAGATGTTCAGAATATTGTTAATTAATATACTTTTACATTCATTTTAAAGCACTGTGGCCGGGGTGTCCAGTCTTATCCACAGAGGGCCGGTGGGGCTGCAGGTTTTCATTCCAACAAAGAAGACCAACTGATTAAACGAGGGGAATCAGATGAGCTTCAGCTTGTTTTGAGTGAAAACCTGCAGCCACTCCAGCCCTTCGTGGATAAGACTGGACACCCCTGCATTATGGCATCCGGATGTCAAAGTGAGACTCAACACGCAAAGATTTTGTTGTTGTCTCTTTTTTTTAATCAGTATTTACAAAGGTTTGTGCAGTTGAACCATCACTCAATAGCAGCTCAACTTATAAAAAGGAGTAGTGACGAAATACCAGCTCGCTCGGAGACTTGGGCTGTACCTGCCGTGTCGGGCACCCTCTGCTCGAGCTCAGCAAGAACAAGCCATTCATGACAAAGCGATGCAGCTCCCTTCACTCCGCAAACAGGACCGAAGGCACAGCAATGCAAAAGAGCCGTCAGTGTAACAGAATCCGGGTTCTGCTTCAGAAATCAGTCAGGAACACTAATCACGTCCCACGTAGCATTCCCTCCTCTGACACGCAGAGGGTTACAATGAGCTTTAGGACATTTTTTGGGGTAAAGCTGTGTCAGACCATGAGATCAAGCTCCATGAGCTGTCTTGTTCTGTATTTCCCACACAGTTCATTTGGCTTTGTGTCGGAAAAAAAACACTGACACTTCCCTTTAACTGGAAAGACGTGTGTATGGAACACTTCCATAACATGATCTTAAAAAGATTTGGTTTAACCGTTTAGGAGTTGATAATATTTTAGGAAAATCCATCATAAATAAGTAGAAAGACGAGTGCAGTTTCCTTTACACCATGTTGTTGCTCTCTCCCACTTTGTCCACGTACTGAAAAACAAATCAGAAAGAACATTTAGAATCTGATCAGCCTTGGTCTTGGCTTTGCTTTAACCTCTTATTCTCCTGGTTTTTCCATCTGAATATGCACCGATCAGGCATAACATTATGACCACCTCGTGTTTTTAAACACTGTGTCCACTCACTGTCCACTCTATTAGACACTCCTACTTTGTCAGTCCACCTTGTAGATGTAAAGTCAGAGACGATAGCTCATCTGCTGCTACACAGTTTGTGTTGGTCATCCTCTAGTCCTTCATCAGTGGTCACAGGACGCTGCCCACAGGACGCTGTTGGGTGGATATTTTTGGATGGTGGACTATTCTCAGTCCAGCAGTGACACTGAGGTGTTTAAAAACTCCAGCAGCACTGCTGTGTCTGATCCACTCAGACCAGCACAACACACACTAACACACCACCACCACATCAGTGTTACTGCAGTGCTGAGAATGACCCACCACCCAAATAGTACCTGCTCTGTGAGGGTCCATGGGGGTCCTGACCACTGAAGAACAGGGTAAAAGGGGGCTAACAAAGTATCAGAGAAACAGATGGACTACAGTCTGTAACTGTAGAACTACAAAGTGCACCTATATAGTAAGTGGAGCTGATAAAATGGACAATGAGCATAGAAACAAGGTGGTCATAATGTTATGCCTGTTTGGTGTATATATATATATATGTGCTTGTGTCCTGCTGCTGTGTGTTGCTCCATATGACCTGAAAAACATTTTGTTCCAGTGCATACAAGTTATATTAACAATAAAGACAATTTGACTTGACTTGACTTAAAATACTACACTGTCCTGTCTAAACCCTAAATCTTATTGGAACGATAAACAGGCTTATATGGTACAAGAGGCCCATTGAAACCCAGTCCAGACTTTTCATCTTTTCTGTGCTTCCTTAAATTGTTCAGATAATTCAGACAAAATGTGTTTGCTTATGTTAAAGAGAGATGAAATCCATATGACAAATATACTTACTTAGATTCAGGTGGGCTTATTCTGGGCTTCTCCCCTATTTAACCATTTATCTACTGACCCTGCTTAAAAATGCACCTTGAAACCTGGAGGTGTTGTATATCTGAATATGCTGCCCCTCGTCAGACGACACTGAACACAGTCATAATCATCATCATAATCATCAACATAAACTGAGCAGAAATATCCAGAGCTCTCAGACAGGTACATGCTCACATGCAGGTGGGGAAGAAAGGGGGGGTGGGGGAACAGCAGTGACTGACCAAGTTCGCTGATTGTCCTCTCAGCCTTACGAAGGCTTTAAGAAAAACAAAGACACGTTCAAAGACAGGAACAAGTCTGTTTTCATTGTGTCAGGTGAAAACAGGCAGACGCACATTCTTAAAAAGAAGGGGTTCTTCAAGGGTTCTTTAAAGGCAAAGGTTAAAGTAAAATTTCTGTGCTTAAATTTAGAAAATATTTATTTTTGTGCGTGCTGATAAAATTTTGCTGCAGTTGCCTCCACAAAGTCTTGAGGTTCATATCGTCGCTGTCCAAAGAAAAACATGCATCTTCAAAACTGTAATTTTACAGAAGAGGTTTTATTCCACGCAATTTTGGAACACGTCTTTTGCTCCACTGATCATGAAATTTACACACAACCTAAAGGACAGCTGCCGAGTTCAAACGATGCAGAAAAACCAAAAAATGGACAAAAAAATGGAGATGCATGTTTTATTTGGACGATATCGTCTCTAATGCATGAATTATTAATATTATTTGTTATTAGGCCGATCATTATTATGTATAATCTACAAAACAGAGAATGTATAGTATATACTTCTTCAAAGAACCTTTTTAAAAACAATTCTATATAGCACCAAAAAAGGGTTCTGCTATTGTCATGGAACCTTTTTTTTGGTACTATATAGAACCCTCTTTGCAAAGAATGTATATGATCTCCTATCATCCAGGCACCTTGTTGTGGCCTCTGCTCATTTTCAACCATTAGTAGCATTTTTTGGAATAAATATTCCTTTAAAGGTTTTGACATTTGAAACACGTTTGCTTTTAGTAGAAATCTGACTATTTGAGACTAAAGTGAAACTACAAGCAACCTGCTACAGCTGATTAACTGAAACAGAAGACGCTGTACAGACAGTGCAAATGCAAAACATACAGCACTGTTAGAAATAAAGGTTCTGTTCAGGTACATTTTTCATTCATCAAGGTACAAACAGTGTAAATGTTCCCTCAAAGCTCCAACAGTGGTTTTAAGGTCTGATTGTGAACCTTAAATAAGTTTTTCCAGGTGAAAAGTTCGTATTTGTACCTTTTCATAACCGAATGTTTTAAACAGAACAGTAAAATAAAGTCCTGGAGACGAGACGGGGTGTGTGGAGTCAGTACAGCTTAGAACATATCATTTCAGTGGATTATGGTTCAGTTATGTTCCCTGACTAAAGGTACTGAGATGGACCCATGAGGGTTCCACCCCAGTGACAAGAGGGGAACTGACCCAGTGACAGTTTAGCACCTTTATTTCTGAGAGTGCTGTAAACACTACCAGCACTGTAAGTTACTAATTTACATTTTAATAACATGGCAGAAACTCCAATTGTTGTTAGAAGCATTTGGGTTAAATTCTTACAATGCAAAACTACAAATTCAGTACAGTTACACAAAGCTTCAAAATAAAAGGGGAACTCCACCATTTTTTACAATTTCCATTTAAGTAAATGGTTCAGATGTAAACAGAGTCATTCAGAGAGGTTTGGTGTGAAATGTTCTGTTCTAGAGAAACTGACCGAGTCAGAACTGTTCACAGTGGAGGTGATAGGAACCAGACGTCCACCTCTAAAAGCTCCCTCACAGAAAGTTACTACATGAAATGGTTATGAATTCACTGCCTGATGGCTGAGACATTGAGTTCGCTTACATGCACTCAATAATCCAATCATAATCGGATTACTGCAGTTATCAGACTATTCAAATGATCATGTAAACAGCACACTCTGATTTCTTCCATTGGAGTAAGGTCTAGAAATCTGATTAAGAACCTGATAAAGAGGCTGGATTTCAGCATAATAATCAGATTTCTCAGTGCATGTTAACTCTTACTCTGATTTCTTTCGGATTTCTCAGTCTGAGCATGTGCGAAAACAGATGCCGGTAGCGGAAATAAACGAGCAGCGTCGCTGTGAGACACAGCTAAACACTTTTGGAGCAACACTGAAACCAAATACATGCTTGAGGAAATGAAGGATTTCAATATTCTTCATCTTCTAGATGATGTTAGTTCATATTTTCAGGTAAAGTGCTGTGATGTTTAACAAAAAATCTGCAGCACAAAGTTTGAGTTTTATGTTACGTTTACGTCACGTCTTCTTCTGTGAGTTTATTGGCTGGATGTAAAGCAGAAATCCGATTATTGTCTGACTCATATAAACCCAGAGTTTCCCCATTATCTGATTACTCAAGTGCATGTAAACGTGTTGATCGTATTACTGACAAAATCTGATTTTCTGCAGTTATCGGATTATTACGTGCATGTAAACACACTCAGTGTTTTACGATCTTTTTGTGATAAAGTCTGGATCCTAAAAGTTCTTGGTAATCAATTTATGTTAATCCATTTGTGGCAGAGAGGCACATGCAGGGTGTTGTAAGGCAAAACAGTCCCCAAAGAAAACTTATTTTTTCAGGTTTTTCCACTGTTTTACCATCATCAACATTCCATATAAAAGCTCAGGAGACACGTGTAGGTTCACTGGATAGTGAATAAAATGTCTATATTTGTGTTGTAGTCATGGCGACCCCTGGTTCCTATCACCACCACTGTAAAGACATCTGAGTCTGTAATGTTCATTTTGAAAAATCAGTGGAGTTTCCCTTTAAAGAAGAAGACAGATGGAAAGTGGGCCCACTGCACTCTAATGCACCATGCACACTTACCCCACTAATGAAGGGCAGATTCAGCAAGGAGCCCAGGACGGGTATCCGTCTGATGAAGCCGATAACCACCGGGAAGAAACCCCTTCACACAGAGAGAACGACAGCATAAGTCTATCTATTTTTCTATTACAGGAACAGAGGGAAAACGTGGAACGGACTGGGGTCTGGAATGAGAACTGGACTGCAAAAAGCTGGTCTAAATAATCAGCTACTGTCACTGATTTCTCATGCATTCCACCGCAATACATTCTATGTATTCTATTCTAGGTGATGGATCATACACGCTTAAGAAAGACGGTTCTTTGAGGGTTCTATATAGAACCATGAACACTCAAAGAACCCTTTGCATGATTAAAGTGGTCCTTTATAGCACCATAAAGCATTCTTCTATTGTTACAAGCTTGACATTGTCACAATAGAACCCTTTTTGGTGCTACATGGAACCAGTTTCAAAAAGGTTCTATATAGAATCATCTACAGCACATTCTCCATCAATCAGACGAACCATTTCATGATGCAAAGAACCTTTTAAATCATACAAAGGGTTTTTTGAGTGTTCACGGTTCTATATAGAACCATTTTCTTCACTATACACTTAAAAAATGGTTCTTCGAGGGTTCTTTAGTAAAGAAAATGGTTCAATATAGAACCACCAACCCTTTTCAAAAAGGTTCTATACAGAACCATCTACATCACACTCCCAATCAATCTGGAGAACCCTTTTACAATGCAAAGAACACTTTAATCATGCAAAGCGTTTGTCTGAGTGTTCACGGTTCTATATAGAACCATTTTCTCTACTATACACTTAAAAAAAAGGTTCAATATAGAACCACAAACATTCAAAGAACTCTTTGCATGATTAAAGGGTTCTTTGCATCGTGAAAGCGGTTTTGTATGGTTCTGTATAGAATCTTTTTGAAAAGCGTTCTATATAGCAGCAAAAATAGTTGTTCTATTGCTACAGGCTTGAAATCGTAACCCTTTTCAAAAAGGTTCTATATAGAACATTCGCAATCAATCTGGAGAACGCTTTCACAATGCAAAGAACACTTTAAACATGCAAAGGGTTCTTTGAGTGTTCATGGTTCTATATAGAATGTTTTTTTTTTTACTAAAGAACCCCTGAAGAACCATCATCTTTTTTTTAAGAGTGCAGATCTAAAAAAAAAGCAAGCAGTTCAATATTAAGATCTTCACCTGAATAAAAGGAAAAAGCCATAAAACTCTAGAACCACTCCGACGATGGGCCACCCGATCAGCACCACGAAGACCCCTCCGAGGAAGAAGCTGGTGGCTTTCATCTTGTGCTTCTGGAAGAAGAATCTGAAGGTTCTCTCCAGGCCGATGACGAACGCTAAGCCCACCACAAACAGGATCTGCAGAAAACAAAGTGTGTGGAGAAACAACAGAGAAAGACTGAGGATGAACTTGAACCCGAAAACAGTAAAAAACTTAGTAAGACTCAAAAAACCCATCAGGGTCACATTATCTGCAGAGCATCTATGAAGAACAGGCTTCAGTATTAAATTCCACTAATTTTTCTACTTCTCTCCATAATGCAATCATGAGGACCCTGACAGACACACACACATCTTCTAAACTGCTTATCCTTCTGGGTCAACAGTCCATCACAGGGTAGACAAACACACAGACATAAACATTCACCCACACACTCACACCTAGAGGCAACTTTGCATGTCCAATTAGCCTGACTGCATGTCTTTGGACTGTGGGAGGAAACCGGAGCACCTGGAGCAGCACTGCTGTGTCTGATCCACTCAGACCAGCGCAACACATACTAACACACCACCACCACGTCAGTGTTACTGCAGTGCTGAGAATGATCCACCACCCAAATAGTACCTGCTCTGTGAGGGTGCATGGGGGTCCTGACCACTGAAGAACAGGGTAAAAGGGGGCTAACAAAGTATCAGAGAAACAGATGGACTACAGTCTGTAACTGTAGAACTACAAAGTGCACCTATATAGTAAGTGGAGCTGATAAAATGGACAATGAGCGTAGAAACAAGGAGGTGGTCATAATGTTATGCCTGATCGGTGTATATATATATATATATATGTGTGTGTGTGTGTGTGTGTGTGTGTGTGTGTGTGTGTGTGTGTCAAGACAAGCACCCACATCACTCAACAGCTGCATGTTTCTCAGGGATGCTAATGATAAAAACTTCACACTAGTTCAGCAGTTTTTCCCATCAGTCACTTTTCCTCACACAACCACACCTCTCATAATCAAAATGTAAACACTTACGTTTCCAATAGCGAGGAGCGCTTTGTCGAAAAACAGAATCATTCCGAAGAACAGGAAAAACACTCCGAAGCCTGTTAATCCCATCCCGATTTCTGCAGAGTGAACAGAAGAGAATCACCTGAACACAGTTCAACAAACGCCAGGCACACCTAGCCTCACTTTCACGCACAGCTGTGTCGTATGACCCACACAAAGCATCTGTGTTTACTGTTCAAATGACACAAATTGTGTTTCATGTAATTAGATATTCCCTGTGATGGACTGGCGACCTGTCCAGGGTGTATCCTGCCTTCCGCCCAATGACAGCTGGGATAGGCTCCAGCACCCCACCGCGACCCAGAAGGATAAGCGGTTTAGATGATGTATGTAATTAGATATTTTTATAAGAGCTCCGATGATGGTTGTTCTACAGAGTGCAGAGGCGGAGGTCCAGTTTCAGAGCATCAACTGGTCATTCAATTCCAGTCTTTGATATATTAGAGTACGTTTCCATTGGCATGCATGACCAATGCAGTTAGAGGCCCATGTGGAGCTTAGAAAATACACTATATGTCCAAAGTATCCCTTCAATTTAGTGAAGCTCCTTTATGCTGCATCCATCGCTGACACAGACGTACAGCTGGTATAATTCCTATAGAAAAGCACTGTCCAATAGAATGTGACGCTCTGGAGCAGCAGCACAGGAGCCTAAGGTCTCCATGCCCAATGCCAAGCAGGGCCTAGAGGGGTATAAAGCCCCCCAGTGTTGGGCTGTGGAGCAGTGGAGCTGCGTTCTCTGGAGTGATGGAGCTCCATCCAATACCTTTGGGATGAGTAGGAGTGTCTAGAACCGACCATCCAACATCAGTACCTGACCTCACTAATGCTCTTGTGGCTGAATGCCATAAATGTTCCAACAACAAGATGGTTCTTCAAGGGTTCTTTATTAAAAGCAAAGTTTCTATTGAGTACCATGAGTTCAATATTTCATGCTTAAATGGTTCTTCAGATTGACGGAGAATGTGTTGTATATGGTTCCATATAGAACCTGTTTGAAAATGGTTCTATGCAGCACCAAAAAGGGCTCTGCTATTGTTGAAGAACCAGAAGAATGTATGTAGATTCTGTCTGGTCTCATGACTACCACGTGTCTGCATGTCTTTATGTTGATTAGTACTCCCGTCAAACCCAGGGCTGAAAGATTTTGGCAAAATATCTAATTGCGATTTTTCTGACGATATTATGATTTAAATTGTAATGGTTTATTATCGAGGTATAAAGTGAGGTATGGGCCTTTTTTTTAGCTAAGAGGACCAGCGTATACTTTTTCGTGTTCTTTTCATGATGAAAGCGTTCTCCAGACTGATGGAGAAAATGTTGTATATGGTTCTGTACAGTACCTTTTTGAAAAGAGTTCTGTACAGCACCAAAAAAGGTTGTTCTACTGTTACAATATCAGGCTTCTTACAATAGAAGGAAAAAAAAAGATGGTTCTTCAAGGGTTCTTTAGTAAAGCCAATAGTTCTATATAGAGCCATGAACACTCACAGAACCCTTTGCATGATTAAAATGGTTCTATATAGCACCAAACAGGGTTCTTCCAATGTTACAAGGTTAACATCGTCACAATAGAACCCTTTTTTGGTGCTATATGGAACCGGTTTCTATATAGAATCATCTACAGCACATTCCTTTTAATCATGCAAAGGGTTTTTTGAGTGTTCACGGTTCTATTTAGAACCATTTTCTTCACTATACACTTTCTAAAGAAAATGGTTCAATATAGAACCACGAACACTCAAAAAAACCTTTGCATGATTAAAGGGTTCTTTGCACCGTGAAAGCGTTCTTCAGGTTGATGAAGAAAATGTGTTTTGTATGGTTCTATAGAGAATCTTTGTGAAAAGCATTCTATATAGCACCAAAAATAGTTCTCCTATTGTTACAGGCTTGAAATAGTAACGCTTTTCAAAAAGGTTCTACACAGAACCATTTACAGCACATTCTCCATTGATCTGAGAAACTCTTGAACTATGCAAAAAACCCTTTAATCAGGCAAAGTGTTCATGGTTCCACACAGAATAATTTTCTTTACTAAAGAACCCTTGAAGAACCATCATTTTTAAGTGTGCTGTGTTTCTTCTGAAATGAAGGACATTAATAGTATATTTGTTCCCCTACTCTTCCGGAAAGGCTTTACACTTACACACTTAAAAGAAATGGTTCTTCAAGGGTTCTTTAGTAAAGGGAATGGTTCTGTTTAGAACCATGAGTTCTATATAGAACCATTTCAAGCTTAATTGGTTCTGTGCATGGTGAAACGGTTCTACAGATTGATGGAGAATGTGCTGTTTATGGTTTTACACCATCAAAACTGGTTCCACTGTTGTATACAAGCTTGACATCATAACAATAGATCTCTTTTTGATGCATGGTTCTATGCAGAACTACACACAAAACATTCTCCATCAATCTGAAGAACCATTTCACCATGCAAAGAACCTTTAAGCATGAAATGATTCTAAACAGAACCACTGCCTTTACTAAAGAACCCATGAAGAACCATCCTTTTTTTAAACAGAAGGACCTAAAGGCCTGGTCACTAACTGAGGCACATGATATATTGGTTGGTTCTTGTCATGGGACCAGACAGAACATCCTTGATGTTTAGTACTGAGTTATTTATCTAGTACTGATACTAATGTTAGTCACTATCCTGCTGATAAAGGACCTTTAGAAACTATCAGGACTAAAACATAATGGTTTTACTTTTTAGTGGGAATCAGCATAGTGGTGTCCAGCTGAACACCTTTAGATCCCATTAGGAAACAGCCAATGCATTTAGAATCAGCCACTGGTCACCGGTTAAACCATTAGGGTCCTTTACAATGTGATATCAACCCATTACACACATTACAGAACCAACAGAAACTCTTAATGGTAATAATTACGACACATAACAACCCGGTGCTATTCTGCTGCTGAAGACACGAAGCTTAAGTCAGCTTCTGGTTCGAATTCCCCCGTTCCACCTTAAACGGTGCAGCAGTTACAGTCTGACAGCTGCACCATTTAAGGTGGAACGGGCAAATTCGAACCAGAAGCTGGCGAATAGAAACCCATATGTGATAAAATCTTATTAATCTTACTCTGCGAGTCAGTGAGAGAGATCATCTTGGCAGAGAACCGATTTACTTCACTGAGAAACTAGAACCCCGTTCTGTTCAACTACAGCAGCAGCTGTTCCAGGAGTGTCCACGTCTTGCGCTTTGTGCGCATGCGCGGCACGCAGCCTTTTAACAGAGTAAAAGTCCCCATCCCCGGCCGCGTTCCAATAGCAGTGGATTGAGACTTCTTTTCTTTTCTGCTTTCCTTGTTTTTCTCATGGATATACGTGCCTAGGTGCCGCGTTGGGTCCAGCCAGGCACGTCAACGGCGCCGCCATTTTGGGGCGGTCAACATCCTGCTGGACTGCATTCAGTACCATTACAAAGCGGCAGTTTGAGAAAGATAATGTCCGAAATTACACTATTTCAAGAATATTACACTCAGAAAGTGGGATAAGATTATATAACCGAGGGAACACAGTGATCCACTCATGTTTGTGTGATGTTGATGTGGTTGGTGATGCTCAGAAAAGCATGTGATTGTTTTTCCTCTGGTTTTATATTAAGCTGATTTCATTTAATGGTCTATTCAGGGCATCTTAACTTTACGTAGCAGTCATTTATTTACAATGATGGGTGTAGCTGGGTAAATTAGAGAATTCCTTGATCCGTGTAGATATTTTTAATAGATTAATGTAGCTTGCATGAATCTGAAGCTCTTATTTGCCAGCTTCTTGTTCGAATTTCCGCCTTAAATGGTGCATCAGCCAGCTTTTCCCGTTCCACCTTAAATGGTGCAGCTTCACCAGAAAGGGACTGCTGCACCATTTAAGGTGGAACGGGAAAACTCCAGGAAAGAAGCATATAACCATATATATACAAGCAAGCATATAACAATAGGATGCATTACAGCCTTCACATTCCCAGAATAAACAAAATAACAAAAAAATAAAAAGGAAAGAAAAAAGAAAAACAGAAACAAAAAGGAATGCCATTGGGATTTAAATAAAATTGAAACAGCTTTAACAGCAACGGATTTACAGTATTTCTTATTTTGCTGCTGGCGCCAATTTACTAAAGTAGAAATGTAATTACACAGATCTATGCATTCAAACGTGATGTATGAAGGTTTTTTTCTGGCAAATTTCACCTTATGTGTATAGAATTTAGCTATTATTATGATCAGGTTTATTATAAAACGTTCATTTGGGTTAAACAAAAGGTCATCAAAAAGATATAAAACTTTTTTTATAAAGCTTTTGATTTCTTTACCAATCTTTCTCTATAGGTCAAAAAGGAGGTTGACCCAGAGCGATTCCATGGATTCTGGAGCCCCTTTACAAAAAGGACATGCATCACTCACGTTGAAGGATTTACTCAACATACCACTGACAGGGTAGAATCTATGCAATATTTTATAAAGCAGTTCTTTTATCTTCTTATTAAGAACATATTTATAGGGTGGAGTCCAAATTGTGCGGTTGTTCTGCCTTTGTTGAGTTTGACCGCTGTAATGTCGCTAATGGAATAGATTTATGAAATAAAAGCTGCCTTATATAATCATTGTTACACTTCTTATCTATTATATCAACCCCATTAACAGAAGTGATACAGTTCTGTAGAGAAAAATCCTCTATAACCTTTTGATTACTTTTAATTAAACAGAGAAGACCATCAGGGACAGAGTCACACATCCTCTTAAAGTCTGTATTGCAAAAGTCAGAGTAGGAAATAAAATGATGATTATCATCAAGTAATTGGTTAATCAGCAAAATATTACCATTAAACGACAGACGAGAGAACAGTGACCTTCCCTTATAGATAACGTCTTCATTGTTCCAAAGTAAAGACTGCTTACAGACGGGTCATTGATCAGGTGGTCCTTTGGAGCAGCCACAATAACCTGGTGCTGAACTCGAGATGACAGTGGACTTCAGGAGGGAGCCCTCCAGCCCTGTCAGCACTCACCATCCTGGACAGAACTGTGATGGCAGTGGAGTCCTACAAGTTCCTGGGCACAACAATCACCAGGGACCTGAAGTGGGACAGCAACATCGGCTCCATCATCAAGAGAGCCCAGCAGAGGATGTACTGCCTGCGTCAGCTGAGGAAGTTCAACCTGCCCCAGGAGCTGATGGTGCAGTTCTACACAGCCATCATAGAGTCCGTCATCACCACGTCCATCACAGTGTGGGGCAGCTCAGCCACCAAGCCTGACCTCCACAGACTGCAGTGCATCATCAGGCCTGCAGAGAGGACTATTGGAGTTAAGCTGCCCACACTGCTGGAACTGCATGCCTCCAGAACCAGGAAGCATGCAGAGAAGATCTCCACAGACCCCTCTCACCCCAGACACCACCTGTTCCAGCTCCTTCCCGTCAGGCCGGCGCTTCAGCCAGATGAGGATCAGGACATCCAGGCTACAAAGGAGCTTCTTCCCACAAGCCATCACTCTCCTGAACAGTTTAAATATTACACATTAAAATATTCCAGCTTCAAACTGCACTTCATAAATACTGGTATATAGGATCTAATTCAACTCTGTCCTCTGGAACTGCTGCCTCAAACCAGTGTTTATTCTAGCACCTCACTTACCTGCCTTAGTACCCCACTTATCTGACTGTTACTTCACTTACCTGCCATATTACCCTACTTATCTGACTGTTACCTCACTTACCTGCCTTATTACCCCACTTATCTGACTGTTACTTCACTTACCTGCCATAGTACCCCACTTATCTGACTGTTTCCTCACTTACCTGCCTTATTACCCCACTTATCTGACTGTTGCCTCACTTACCTGCCTTATTACCCCACTTATCTGACTGTTACCTCACTCACCTGCCTTATTACCCCACTTATCTGACTGTTACCTCACTTACCTGCCTTATTACCCCACTTATCTGACTGTTACCTCACTTACCTGCCTTATTACCCCACTTATCTGACTGTTACCTCACTTACCTGCCTTATTACCCCACTTATCTGACTGTTACCTTACTGATCCCTTTCTCTGCCACTATACACCCTTTAACTGCTGCTGCACTCAGCACTTTAACTTTAGACCCATACTTTGCACAATGTAAGGTTTACAGGTATGACTGTGTGTGTGTGTTTGAGTGAGTGATGGTAGGAATGCATGTTTTATTTTATTTTATTTTATTTTGTTACATTTTATATTTTATATTTATTTTATTTTATTCACTACATGTAAATGTCTGTCTGGTACTGTGCACTGTGAGCTCCTGTAACCAAAACCAAATTCCTTGTATGCGTAAGCAAACCTGGCCAATAAAGCTGGATTCTGATGTTCTGATTCTGAATATTTTGTCTAATTGTGTAATAGCTAATTTCGGTGCTTCTAAGGCAGAAGACACATAAGCAGCTCTGGAGAGCCCCTCTGCTTTGCTCAGTAAACACGACCTTGAACGGACAACTCCTGAGACTCTTCATCTTTCAATACAAGTGAATCTGTTCTCAAGCGGATCTTGACCGCTCCAACATGGCGGACGCGCAGACGTATCGCCTCAGATAGAGAACAACAGAGAGCGCAGCATCCAAATATGGATATCTTTGGTTTTTCCCCTGATTTGGTGGCGGATCCTCATTCTAGTCAGCTCTGCCACGATGTAATATTTGGTGAGGCCACTGGCTACAGACCAGGCAAAATCAGGGGCAGCAGAAAAGAAAAGAAGGGTTAATGCGGCTATTCGGACGCAGCCATTCTGTCGCATTAAAAAAGCGCAGAGTTTACGGAAGTTAGTTTGCACATAAATGATAAAAGGAGCAATACTTTCCTCAGATATCTGGAGTTTGTCAAGATTATTTGAATCCCTCTGTCTGGCTATTATTATGATATTATTTTTTTATTTATTTTTTTAATTATTATTTATTTGTATTGTTTATATATTTGATTGTATTTCACTTTGTGTTATTTTAGATTATTTTGCTGCTGTTAATTTGCCCATTTAGTGTAGTAGTGATGTGTGTGTTGTAATTGTTATGAATGATTGCATCAATAATAAAAGAAAAAAGAAAAAAAAACATAAAAACGTGAAGGGCCCATCCCAAAACTAAAAAAAAAAGTTATTTTGCTCTCTTTGGGTTTTTCTAATAGACACTTATATTTTTTATTTATTTATATTTTTATTTATTTATTATTATTATTTTGTTTTTATTCCATGGATTAGTATTTATACCAAATTCAAACCTATGCAATGATTTCTTTTTCTAAATACGCCTGTTTAATATAAATTAATGGCTAAATGGTTCTACAATTCAAAACCTGAAAATAAAGCACTTTGTGTTTCTGTTAGACTTCCGTAGCAGGATTTTGAGCCATATTTCATGCATCGTCATTACTGCCGTAATGCTGCCACCTGTTGGCCACATTGACAACCGCAGCCTTCTATCTCACTAAAGCAGCGCAATGAGGAGCTTTCAATGTAAATCATTGAAGCATTTATAGGATTCATAAGGAACCCATAATCCAAACGGTTTATCTGGATATTTATTGGTAATGTAGAGCTTTTATTTAACTGCTATTAAAGTCGACTACAAAGTGATGATGGTTAGATAAACTAGCTTATGCTGGTTGCTGTCACTGATGAAGGGGCCATTCAGCTCATTTTGATCATTCTACCAATTTCTGTCTCAGGAAACATTACAATCATAATGGAAACAAATCTAGAACATAAACAGCATGTTACATGTTGCATAGAAACAAGTTATTTTCCAATTTTTGTTGCTGTTTATGAGCTGCTAGCTGTAAAAAAAATTGAATAAACAAAAAACGATTTTTGTAACATACTGACTTTTTATGGAGCCCCTGAAGTGACATGGTGAGTATTTTTAATAAGGCCTCACCACAAGTTAATATAACAGGCCACATATTAATATATTGAAGTCACGAATTAATATATTGAGGCCACAAATTAATATATTGAGGCCACAAACTATTATATTGAGGAATTACTATATTGAGGCCTCAAACTATTATATTGAGGTCACAAATTAATATATTGAGGCCACAAACTATTATTTTGAGGTCACAAATTAATATATTGAGGCCACAAACTATTATATTGAAGTCACAAATTAATATATTGAGGCCACAAACTATTATATTGAGGCCAAAAGATAATATATATTGAGGCCACAAATTAATATAATGAGGTCACAAATTAATATATTGAGGAATTAATACATTGAGGCCACAAATTAATATAATAAGGTCACAAATTAATATATTGAGGCCACAAACTATTATATTGAGGAATTAATATATTGAGGCCTCAAACTATTATATTGAGGCCACAATTTAATATACTGATGCCAAGAGTTACTATATTAAGGCCACAAGTTAATACATTGAGGTCTGTAGTCTTAAATGGCCACTTATTAATCCTCTAAAACTGAACAGTTCAATGACAAAGCGTCCTGAAATGACTTCCAAGCAGAAACGGAGTCATGAGTCTCTTCACATGTTGGAAAATAGAGGAAGGGCGGGGAAAAAAAGGGGATGCCAGCTTGACCACAACAGTAAAACCAGCATTCAGTGTGTGGGTCAGAATTTCACAGACAGAAAACAGTCACTGTGACGTTCTTTCATTTACATATTTACTTTATATCATGAGAAAAAAATGAGTTTGTTTCAAACTGCAGGAGCACAGGATACAATCCACTTCATATATCATATCAAACAGATACAGAACACGAACAGCATATTACATATTGCATAAAAACAAACTATTCTCCCATTTTTGTTGCTGTTTGTGAGCTGCTAGCTATAAAAAATTACTTAATAAACAAAAAGAGCTTCTCAAATTCTCTGGTTCTTCCAATTTATAAACAGACTTTTTACAGATCCCCTACGGTGACCTGGTGATTAGTTTGGAATAAGGCATTCCCATGAATTAATATAAAAAGGCCACAAATTGATATATGGAGGCCACAAATTAATATAATAAGGTCACAAATTCATATATTGGGCTCACAAATTATTATATTAAGGCCACGAATTAATATTTTGAGGTCACAAATTATTATATTGAGGCTACAAATCAATATAACAAGGCCGCGAACTAATACAATGACGCTAATAGTTAACGCACTGAGGCAACAAATAAATATATTGAAGCCACAAATTAATATACTGAAGCCACAAATTAATATGAGGCCACAAGTTAATATACTGAGGCCACAAATGAATATGATCAGGCCATAAATTAATATGAGGCCAAAAGTTACTATATTGAGGGAACAAGATAATATGAAGATTTTCACAAATTAACTGTGACGTTCTTTCATTTACATATTTACTTTATATCACGTGAAAAAATGAATGTTTAATATTGCAGGAGCATTAGAACCCAATATATTATATAGGACTTAATATATAACTTTATATTATATATAAGCAATTATATAGACTATTAATCAGAGAACAAAGAAGAGAGCATAACGTTCCAAACTGGCACATTTATTCAACTGCATGGTCACTACAATTTCTTTGTTTCCATTTTCATTTCCAGTGCAAACAAGATACCAATACTGTATATTTACCATGTCATACTAGGAGTAGTTTGAGATTAAGTCATGAATTCCTAATAGAATATAAGAGTAACTTGTATTATTTAATGATTGTTTCACTATACTGAGCATTTCACTTCTAAACACAGCCTCTGTTGAGTTCCTTGTTGATATAACTTAGGCACCAAACATAAGAACATGCATGAGATGATACTGTATGAATACAGACCCAAAGGTAACTCTTGAGGTTATCCAGTAAAATCTGTGCATAACGAAATCGGCATTAATTTGGGGAAATAGGCATTAATTATGCATATCAGAAAACAAAGTCGTTCCGATTGGTTTGATGTGAAATCGTTAATTTGTAGACAAACTTTCCAACTCAGATGTCTTTACAGTGGTGGTGATAGGAACCAGGGGTCACCATGACTACAGCAAAAATATAGACATTTTATTTACTATCCACTATAAACCACCAGTCAACGTACACACGTCTGTAGAGTTTTTTATGGCAAAATAACAGCAAAACCTAAAAAAAAAGTTTATTTTGGGGGCTATTTTGCCTTAGAACACCTTTTATGTATCCCTCCACCTTGATTGGTTTAAAACAAGTACTGTAAAACTGCGTCTCAGTGAATTCATAACTATTTCATTTAATCACTTTCTGTGAGGGAGCTTTTAGAGGTGGACGTCTGGTTCCTATCACCACCTCTGTGAACAGTTCTGACTCGGTAACTTTCTCTAGAACGGAGCGTTTCACACCAAACCACTCTGAACGACTTTGTTGATGTATTAACCATTTAATTATACATAAATTTTGAAAAACTGGTGGAGTTCCCCTCTAAGGAGTGGTTATTTGGACACAATGATAAGTGATAGTTTATTCTACGACTAAGATTTGTGTCTCCAAAACCAGCCCTTAGAATGATTTTCAAGTAAGTCGTTTTCATAAAGATCTATGCAGCGAAGAAATCAGTGTCTTAATGTGCATGAGAATGTAACAAATACCCTTAAGGTCAATTCTGACACTTCCATAACAAAAAGTGCTAAAGAGAAGTGCATAAAATATAAAGCATCAAATCATAGCTCTGTTTTTAGGCACTGTTTGACCACCTGACTACACTGTGATCAGAAAATTTAGGTTCTTCACAGAACTTAGTCAGCTGTTGGGATCTAAAATACATGTGCTGCTTTTATTCCCAGTGATTTCCATTTGCAGACAAGCCATAAATTATGTATTTTCCCCTCCACGTCCTTCATTGTTGTCACTCTGGAGGCTTTTTCTTGGCTTCCACGTCCTTTTTGAAGGCCTCTATCTTCTTTGCGATGTTGGGAACCTTTAGTGAGGGTAATAAAAAAGAAAAAAATAAGAACAGAATTAGACAATAATAACTTCAAGGAATTTTTAGTGATCGTGAATAAAATGGAATTGATTAAATTCTGTGTCCTAATGCATAAATACACTGTGCACATAGCACAGCACAGAAAATTAAGACAGTCAAATCTAATGGGAACAAACTAAGGCATAATGTTTGCTTCTGAGTACATTTGATAAAGGGGAATTCCACCCATTTTTAAAATTCTCTCCAAAATGCAATTGTTAAGATGTGAATAGTCATTCAGAGTGGTTTGGTGTGAATTGCTCTGTTCTAAAGTCAGACTTGTTGGTGATAGGAACCAGACGTCCACCTCTAAAAGCTCCCTCACAGAAAGTTACTACATGAAATGATCATAAATAAGCTACTTAATGTCTGAGACACTGTTTTACATTTTATTTTTTTATGATTTTTTTAAATCAATTAATGGTGGAGTATGTGCATATTTCTATTTCATCATTTGCTATTTCATCATTATCATCATTCCATACAAAAACTCGCATAGGTCACTGGTGGTTCTGGATAGTAAATAAAATGTCTATATTTGTGTTGTAGTCATGGCGACCCCTGGTTCAAATCACCACCACTGCAAAGTCATCTGAATTGGTAAGTTTCTCTTCAGTGCACCATTTTACATCCACCACTCTGAATTTGTTTACATTTCAGCCACTGACTTATGCAGAAATTTAGATAAATCAGTGGAATTCCCCTTTCAGCTCTAACACTATGACCATAGTTCTGACCACTTAAGAACAGGGTGACAGAGTATGCAGAGAAACAGATGGACTACAGTCTGTAACTGTAGAACTACAATGTGCTCCTATATGGTCAGTGGAGCTGATAAGATGGACAGTGAGTGTAGAAACAGGGAGGTGGTTGTTATGACTGGTCAGTGTGTGCCCATATGTAGGCCAATTAAATTGGCTAGGAAAGAATAAAAGTCTTTATAGCTAACCTCATAATTCTGTGCGAGATACATCCCGACCACGTTCCCCAAAGTGAAGCCAACCTGCAAAACAAAGGTGGGTGATCTGGTAAATATACATGTAGAACAAAAGCACTAGACAAAGCACTTTTTGTAAGTCGCTCTGGATAAGAACGTCTGCTAAATGCTATAAATGTAAATTTAATATATGTGCCAGATCAACTAACATTACTGACTAGTCTACAGTCTTACAAATGATGATTTTTTTAAAGGTTCTTCACAAAAGGGAACGGTTCTAGCTCTACTTAGAGCCACGTGTTTAATATAGAACAATTTTATGCTTAAATGGTTCTTTGCATGATGAAATTAATCTTCAGACTGATGGGGAACGCGCTGTATGTGGTTCTAAATTATATAGCATCAAAAAGGGTTCTGCTACTGTTAAGACGTCAAGCGTGTACACAATAAAAGAACCCTGTTGAAAAAGGTTTTACTCATCTAAGGGAATGGATCCATACAGAACCGTTTCATGCTTAAATGAATTGTTGACATTGTAACAACAGCAGAACCTTTTTGGTGCTGTACAGAACTATTCTCTCAAAAACACTATACAGCTATATACAGCGCATTCTCCATCAATCTGAAGAACCATTTTACCATGTATATAACCATTTAGGCATAAAATGGTTCTATACAGAAACAGAACCCTTGAAGAACCACCTTTTCAGGGTAAAACATACTGGATAAGGAGTAAGTTAGCTTAGCTTAGCTTCGCTCCTCACTGACCGGACTTTAGGAGTGAAATGTTGACGTAATACGAAATCTGACAAAAACATTCACTCATTACACAGAACAGATACTCACTATGAACTGCATCATGGTTAGAACCTCGGATGTACAGAACCAGTACAGAAGATCTGGCCGCGGGATCGATGACCAGCAGGAAAAGCAGCCCCGTTCTCACTGCTGTGGTCACAAAAACTCGGCAGTCTTCAGCTGGTTGCGTCACTTATTTTCCAAAATAAAAGTCCGGTCAGGTTGAATCCAAATTTATTTATATGGCTTTTTACAACAGGTGATGTCACAAAGCAGCTTTGTGAAAGAAGTCGTAATATTTCGAGGAAAAAGTCGTAATATTTCGTTAATAAATTCGTAATATGTCGAGAAAAAATTCGTAATATTTCGAGAAAAAAAATTGTATGGTATGATATTTGGAGAATAAAGTCGTTATATTTGGAGAATAAAGTCGTAATATTTCGAGAATAAAGTCGTAATATTTGGAGAATACAGTCGTAATATTTCGAGGAAAAAATCCTAATATTTCGAGAAAAAAATTGTATGGTATGATATTTGGAGAATAAAGTCGTAATATTTCGAGAATAAAGTCGTAATATGTCGAGAAAAAATGTGCTGTATGATATTTGGAGAATAAAGTCGTAATATTTGGAGAATAAAGTTGTAATATTTCGAGAATAAAGTCGTAATATGTCGAGAAGAAATTCGTAATATTTCGAGAAAAAAAATTTACGGTATGATATTTGGAGAATAAAGTCGTAATATTTCGAGAATAAAGTCGTAATATTTCGAGAAAAAAATTGTCCGACATGATATTTGGAGAATAAAGTCGTAATATGTCGAGAAAAAATATGTACGGTATGATATTTGGAGAATAAAGTCGTAATATGTCGAGAAAAAATTCGTACTATTTCGAGAAAAAAAGTCGTAGAATTACAGCATTAAAGTGGCGTTAATGCCAGGAAAGGTGGTAATATTGTGGCCAAAGGCTTTGCAAAGGAAAAGCAGCACCTCCTGGTGTTAAATGAGGGGCGGTGAGTTGGTGGAGTTCTACTTTCATATCGATTCACCCATAAAGAAACACTCAGTCTCCCTGTCTCTCCTGCACATCAGCACCAGCCTGTTATTAGTATAAGAACCGGCTGAAACGGCTGAGCAGGAAACTGTGTTTATCTAGAACAAAGAGCCAGACGGACTCGGAGGAAACTGTCTGTCTGTGTTGTTGAAAGAGAATCACAGGCAGGGTCGTCTACACGGCTATCGGGGGCTACATCTCCCCCCATTCAAAGAGGGCATGAAATTTCACAGACAGTGAGAATGATGATCCGAGATTTAGTTAAAAGGAAAGCTTTCTTTCTTTTCTGCAAAGACAGTGACGTAGATTTAATTTTTGTTCAAGAGACTCACTCTTGCATGGATGATAGTTCTTTCTGGAGAAATCAATGGGGGAGAAAAGTTGTGGTTAGCACATGGTAGCACTCACTCAGCAGGGGTCGCTATTTTATCACACAAATTTAGAGGTAACATCTGTTTCACAAAAGCAGATATGAATGGACTCTGAATAATACCTGTGATTGAAGTATCAGGTAATACTAAGCTATTCTGAACTACTATAAGAAGCACACTTAATAATTTCCCTTCAGCAAAACGTATTATTGGTCAGTATTGGTTTTAATGAAGTAATGGACAATACTTCGGATAGACTCCCTGCAAAACCTACATGTAACTCAAATAATCTCTTAAAATTTAGCAAAAACTTAGATCTAATAGATACTCGGAGATCCCAAAATCCACAAAGAAAACAGTTTTCTTGGAGCACCAAAGATTGTTCTCTTCAATCAAGAATTGACTTATGGCTAATAGCAAATGAATTATTACCTTTAGTAGAGGAGACTGATATATGTCCTGCGGTCCTCGCTGACCACAAAGTAATCAGATTGAAAATAAACCTCATTAACAAACAAAAAATCTATAATAGTGGCTACTGGAAATTGAATAATAATATACTTTGAAGTGATGATTTAAGAGGAATAATTAGGGAACTCATTAGCGAACAGTGGAAAATAGCACGTAATGCCAATGAATATGGGAAACACTGGGAATTACTTAAGTTCAAAATTCGATGTGCCACAACAGCTTTTGGTAAAAATCAAGCCAAGGAAAAAAAAAGCCGAAATCATTCAATTATTGAATGAAATATCAAATCTAAGTACTAATCCTGAGAACACTGATGTGCAAGATACATCTTCTAGATGTGCTGGGACGCATCATCAGTGATGTATCCTGGGATCCTTGGGTGTTTCGGGTCTCTCAACATCAGACACCCTTGCCCAGGTTGATCAGGCCCCGACTTGCGTCCCAGCAGCAACTGCCCACGAATCAGCCCTCTTGATCCAAAGCCACCTGGTGGCTTTCTCTGCGGCTTCGCTTGCAGATCGAATAGCCCTCCTCTTTGACACCCCCGTAATGCCCAGTTAGTTGAGGACTTTACAGAGTGAGCGTCCTGCAAAGCCTCTACAGCCCACCTCTACAGGCTCAGAGTATGTCTTCCAGCCTCTGTCCTTGCACTTTTCCACCAGTTCCTGGTACTTGGCGCGTTTCCTCTCATTTGCTTCCTCAATACGCTCTTCCCAGGGCACTGTGAGTTCCAGCATGATCAGTTGGTTTGTCACTTCAGAGGTGACTATCATGTCTGGCCAAAATGATGTTACTACAATCCATCCATCATCTAAACCGCTTATCCTTCTGGGTCGCGGTGGGGTGCTGGAGCCTAACCCAGCTGTCATTGGGCAGAAGGCAGGATACACCCTGGACAGGTCGCCAGTCCATCGCAGGGCAGACAGACATACACATTCACACCTAGTAGATGTATCTTGCACATCATTGCACACCTAGGGGCAATTTAGCATGTCCAATCAGCCTGACTGCATGTTTTTGGACTGTGGGAGGAAACCGGAGTACCCGGAGGAAACCCACGCAGACACGGGGAGAACAGGCAAACTCCACACAGAAATGACCCTGGTCGCCCGGCCGTGAATCGAACCCAGGCTATTCTTGCTGTGAGGCGACAGCACTACCCACTGTGCCACCATGCCGCCCCATGTTACTACAATATGTTGTGGGAATTTAAGCTGCTTGCCCAGATCAGCTTGCAGCTGCCAGTCAGAGGCTGTGTAGAGGAGGCCTGCCCTTGTTTTAGGCTGTGGTCAGGGTTTCTCTCCAGCTCTGATGAAGGAGATCAGCTTCCTTGGGGCGTGGTGGTGTCTGCTAGAACTAATAGCAGTGGCTATACTCTCAGCAACCGCCTTAAGCACCTGGTCATGCCGCCAACGATAGCGGCCTTCTCCCAGGGCCTTTGGGCAGCTGCTGAGATGTTCTAGGGTTCCTCTACCGGAGCACAGGGGGCAGGAAGGTGTCTCGCTCTTGCCCCAAACGTAAAGGTTTGCAAACTATTGTACACTCTCTGACCTACAAAAACAATTGGATCAAATTTATGAAGATAGGGCACGTGGGGCTTTTGTGAGGTCAAGAAGACAGTGGATGGAAAATGGAGAAAAGAATAGTAAATACTTTTTTAATCTTGAAAAAACGAGAGGTGAACTTAATGCGATTAGGAGACTCATGATTAATGGAAAACCCGATGATGATTTTAAAAACAGTCTCAAATTTTATTACTGACTATTATAGAAAATTGTTTGCCTCTCAAAGTTCTCTTGATAACACAGATGACTTTTCTGTGATGTTAACAAAAAGGAAAAAGGTTTCAGATGACTTTAATAACTTATGTTCCCAAAAATTATACGTAGATGAAATTAAAGAAGCAATAAAAAGCCTGAAAAATAATAAATCACCTGGATGTGATGGTCTGACTTCCGAATTTTATAAGGAATTTACAGACCTCATATCTCATTTTCTGCTCGCAACATATGAAGAAGATGAAAATGATCAACTACCCCCTTCATTAAAACAGGGCATTATAACATTAATTCCTAAGCCAAGCAAAGACCCCCTGCTTCTTAGTAACTGGCGTCCAATAACATTGTTAAACAACTATTACAAAATTCTGGCTATTATTTTGGCAAAAAGGCTAAAGTATGGAATTAATGAGCTCATTGATGAATGCCAGTCAGGTTTTCTGATCATGATTTTGTCATATTTCGAATAACATCAGACTCGTATTGGATCTGGTAGAATACAAAGACTTGCTTGCTGGCAATTACATAAGGGAGGAAACAGCCCAATTAAACGTATCCAGGGAACCACACCAAGATTCGATATGAAGCAAGGTGTTCGTCAAGGTTGCCCCTTAGCACCTGTACTGTTTCTGTTAACAACTCAGATTTTAAGCATGTTAATTAACCAAAGTCAGTTCAGAGAGATAACAATTAATCAGAAAGAAATAAAAGTCTCACAACTGGCTGATGACACTACCGTCTTTCTTGAAAATGCAAATGAAATTCCCAAGGCCTTAGATACAATAACCAAATTCTGTTGTATCAGGACTGAAATTAAATGTTAGTAAGTGTGAAATACTGGCCTTAAAGTTATGCAGTCGTACCAAAGTCTGTGAAATTCCTGTAAAAGACACAATCACCTACCTTGGCATTAGGATTACAAAGAATCCACAAGACATTAGTCATCTAAATTTAAATATGATGACTGAGACCATCAATAAAAAATTCAACTCATGGCTAACTAGAGATCTCAGTCTCCATGGAAGAGTTTTATTAACTAAAGCAGAGGGCCTTTCTTGTGCCTCGTACATTTTCTCCTCTATAGATGTCCCGCATACTTTATGTAGCCCTCTTGATAGATTATTATTTCATTTCATTTGGAAGAACAAGCCTCACAAAATTAAAAAAGAAGTTATCAAAAATAAAATAAAGGACGGTGGATTGAATGTACTGGACTTTACAACATTTAATAAAATAATGAAAGTAAATTGGATTAAAAGATGCTTAAAAAATCCTCATAGCCTACGGAATATTCTTCCCAATTTTTTATTTCAAAAGCTTGGTGGTCTGAACTTTTTGCTGCAGTGTCCTTATGCGATAAAGGAAATTACCAGCCAACTTCCATAAGCAGTCACGACTCTTCTGGTCTCTTATCTACAAACACAACTACTCTCCTCAATGTTGCTTCATTTGGAATAACCGAGACATCTGTCACAAAAGAAAAAGTGTATTCTTTGAAAACTGGTGCAGGAGTAATATTCTATTGGTA